ATTCTTTACTTTCTTAGGCGAACTTAAATCAGAAAGCATGTTGATTTGTGTAGAAAAATTATTTTGATTTATCATAGATATCTTTCTTTGGATATTGTTTGTATAAGAAAGGTCTATAGGGCTTAAAACATTATTGCAGTACTGGGAAGTATTAGTAAAAATGTTTTTAACTGCTGTATTTGTGCCGATTTCCATTAGATAATTCTGATCAATAAAATTTGCACTTTTTGTGTTTTGAGATACCTCTTCATTATCTTTACTTGGTATTGACAAAAATTTATCTATTTCGTAAGTATGTTGGTCATATTGTTCGTACGATAATCATCTAAACAGTGTTTTGAAGTCCTTTGTTTAGGTCCGACAACCAAATTATTTTCTATCTGCATTTCACCATTACATGATAAATCTTCAAATATTTTATTTTGTTGTGTATTATCTGCTGCGATAAAAATGTTACATAAATTACTGTAAAGTATGTTATTTGAATGATTTATATTAGAATCGTAGTTGTCCGTTGCAGAAATCAATAAAACGCAAAAAAACATTTTTAGGGGATATTCCTTTTTTCTAATTTATTTAAATATAAGAATTCTAACTACTTAGAAATTTTATTTAATAGACATTTTTGATTGTCGTAGTAGTAATAATTCTAATGCCACACAACACTTCAAATGTTTTTTTTGTAGCAATATTAATTTTATGACTATAATAAATGTAAAAAATAATTATTAATTATTTAAATAATTGAATAAATTAAAATTCACGGATTTTAAAAATTCAAAGACGTAATTAATGCGTTATGTTATTTACCGACAAACAAAAAATGTTACGTGTTTACAACAACAAATTAAAAATTGCGTCAAATAAAAATAATTACTCCCAATTATATGTTATTAACAACTTAACCATTACTAAATTAACACAAAATCAAAACGTAAACTTATAATAATAATTGTATCCACAGAAAAAAACACCCGCCTATTTGGATCCTAGATAAAAATTTAAGAAAATTAATTTTATTAAAATAAAATATAGGTGGTGTGAAGAAAATATCATTAAATTTAAAGCGGGAAACTTGGTTTTATAAAGATTGTTACTTTGAAAAATCAATAGCAAATAAAGTATTTTGTTATATTTTTTTATCTTTTATATCAATTTCTTCAATCATCATTAAATTGTAAAATTTTACAATCAGTTTTACCTTATTAAATGGCAATATTTCCACAACAATATAGACTAAAGTATTTTAATGTTAATGAAATACCACTCTTCTTGTGTGTGCATTATTATCAACATCTGGCCTATTAAAACTTTATCATTCAACTTATAGAGAAGAAAATTGCTTCTACATCTACTCCTTTCAATCGTATGACCTGCAGCTATTTTTGTTGATAATCTTGTATTTTCTTACATAATCAATTTTTCCATAGAATTACCAACAGTTATGTTCTCTAACTATTACTATTTTATAAATTCTAGAATTAAATTATCTAAATTTAAAAATTTAATAATATCTAAACTAAATATTTTCTTCTTCCTCTATACGTTCAATTACTAAATCATTGATTGTTGAAAGTATAAATTATTTGATCGTATGCTATCAACTTCCTTATACGAAAAGGGACATTAAATTTAACGACGTAGTCGAGGCTGTAGAGTGTCGAAGTCTATTATAAGAACAGGTTGCATCTTCTTTTACTCGACAT